ATTATAATAAGGACTGGGAATGGCTGAGCCATTACAAACATTGAATCTATTAATGGGATGATGTCAGCCTGGAGGGAGATCTCAAGTGCGGTTCCACGGGGATCTGGTCTGGATCCAGTGTTATTTAACACTAGTTGCCAATACTTTGTAGGATGAAACTAAAATTCAAAGAGATCTTGATAAATTGGAGATCTGGGCTATAGACAAGAAAATGAAATTCAACAGAGACAAATGTAAGGTGCTACCCTTAGGGAAGAAAAACCAAATGCACAAATACAGACTAGGGGATAACTGGCTTGGCAGCAGCACTGCTGAGAAGGATCTGGGAGTTGTGGTGGATCACAGCCTCAACATGAGTGAGCAATGAGATGCTGTTGCAAAAAAAGCAAATGCAATTCTGGGATGCATGAACAGAGGCACAGCAGGCAAGTCACGGGAGGCGAGTACTGCTCCACTCAGCACTGGTGAGGCCTCAGCTGGAGAACTGTGTCCCATTTTGGCCACCGCCGTATAGAAAGGATGTAGAGAAACTGGAAAGGATCCAGAGGCGAGCAACAAAGATGATCAAAGGGCTGGAATGCCGGCCAGATGAGCAAAGCCTGAAGGAACTGGGTATGTTTAGTTTGGAAGAGAGGAGATTAAGGGGGCACATGATAATGGTCTTCAAATACTTGAAAGGCTGCCATAAAAAAAATGGAGAAAAGATGTTCTCTCTTGCCCCAGAGGGCAGGACAAGAGGTGATGGGTTTAAACCACAGCACAGCAGATTTAGATGAAATCTCAGGAAAAACTTCCTCACGGTAAGAACAGTAGGACAGCGGAACAGACACCTAGGTAGGTCATGGAAGCTCCTTCATTGGAGGTTTTCAAAAGGAGGCTCACTAGCCATCTGTCTTGGATGGTTTAGACACAACACATCCTGCATCTTGGCAGGGGTTAGACTAGATGTCCCTTGCGGTCCCTTCAAAGCCTATGGTTTGATTCTATGGCTGCCAGCCAGGTTAAGGCTGTAGTCCCCTCCCCCTGGAGTTCCCTGGGGCTGCGAGCGCTGTGCTGGTGGTGCTCTCAGCCCATGGATAGAAGGGAACTGCATGTCACTGAGCACAGCGACCCCTGCAGGGCAATCCAGGGTAAAGCCGATCTCTCCAGGCCCCTGTGTGTTCTCTCTCTCTGCCCCCACAGCTCCTGCCCAGGTAGAATCATCTCATGCAAGAAACAGGAACTGATTTTTCTGACATCCATGGAGTTCTGAGGCCAGACGAAACCTTTCCAATCATCTAGTCTGACCTCCTCTATCACACAGGCCAGAGAAACTAACACGGTGATTCTGCACTGATCCCATAATTTCTGTGTGATGTGTAGTGTATCTTTTAGACAGATGTCTAGTCTTGATTTAAAGACTCCAAGGGAAGGAGAATCCATTGTGTGCTTCATTAATATTCTCCAGCGGTTAATAGCCCTCACTGATAAATGTGTGTACCTTATATCTATTCTAAACTCAATTGTGATGGGGACTCGGGCAGGCATGTTTCTGACAGTGTTCCATTTGCTCCACCGAGACACAGAAATGTAGGGTGGGAAACAATCTCAAAGGTCATCTACTCGATCCCCCCACTCTCGCCAGTTTCTCCACATCTATCTTAAAGTGCAGTGCCCAGGACTGGACGCAGTTCTCCAGCTGAGGCCTCACCAGCACTAAATAAAGTGGAACAGTTACTTCCCCTGTCTTACATACAACACTCCTAATCGATCCCAGAATGACATTTGCCTTTTTTGCAACAACATCACACTGTCCATTCGTATTCATACTTAGGCTATCCTTGGCAGGGGCTTGGTCAACCTGTTCTTCAAAACCTCCAGTGATGGGATGCCACAATCGCCCATGGTAACTTATACCAGTACTTAACTATCCTTCTGGTTCAAAAGCTTTTCTCAATGTCTAACCTAAATCTCATTTTCTCCAAGTCCATATACAGGCGATTAGTTCTTGTCCTGCCCTTGATGGACATGGATAACAATTGATTACAGTCCTCTTTGTAACAACCTAACATTGACTTTTGGAACACCCCTGCTGGCCCAGAGCAGAATAGTGGTGGTGTCCCTGCCTCAGTTTCCCCATATGGGATTTCAGTGAGATCAGTGAGGCTTTGATGCAGTGAACAGTGCCCCTTCAGGGGTCTAATTGATTTAACCCAAGGTCAAAAAGAAGTACACAAGCAAGCTTTTATCCCCACACATCCTAGATCAAGGAGGAGGGGAATAAATGGTTTGCCCCACTTGACTCTATCCTTCTCCTCTGTCCAGGTTCCTTACTAGGAAGGCCCTGTCATCCTGGGGCCTCCCTACGGAGTCGGGCCTCCTGCCATCACCCAGGGAAACGTTCCCACTCTGGACTCAGGTCCCCTGCAGAGGTCAAACCACTGCAGCTCTTTTGCATAGCAGTTTGTAGTTCCGCTGCGATCTGGAGCGCCTGCCATTGTCTGGAAAGGTCCTTTCTCTGGGACCAGCTCTCCCTCCGGACTTGGCTTCCTCTGTGATCTGTGTGTCCTGACTGAGACCTCATAACCCTTTGTTAGGCCCAGGATTTCCTTAGCTAATTGACGGACGCCCAGCCACCTCAGGAATTAACTGCTCACAGGGGGATCTGGGTTGGCTCCTTCTCCTTAGCGGAGCCTGTCACGGGAAGGCTGGGTGCCTGACCTCTTCACGATCCTGCTACCCTGTGACCTGTTTAAAGACTATCATGTCCCCCATCAGCCATCTCTTCTCTAGACTAAACACACCGCATTCTTTCACCCTCCTGAGAGGTCAGGTTGTCTAAACAAGGGTTTCTCAACCCAGGGATTGGAACCCAAAATTGGGTCACCAGAATGTTTCAAAGGGTCATGTGGCAGCTCCCGTGGCTCCTGTCCCATGGGGCTGGCTGGGCTCGCCCCCCTGCTCCAGGCACTGCAACCGCTGGGGTCCTTCCTAAGAGCAGGACTTGGCACTCGTCTTTATTGAATTTCATCTTGTGGATTTCAGACCAGTTCTCCAATTTGTCAAGGTCATTTTGAATTCTAATCCTTTTCCCAAACGCGTTTGCAACCTCTCCCAGCTCAGTGTCCCCTGTAAATTTTATAAGTGTATTCTCCACTCTATCATCCAAGTCATTAATAAAAATATTTAGCAGTACCCAAAACCAGACAGACCTCTACTGGATACCCCCCCCCCCTAGATAAGTCCCCTCAAAACGACAGGGAACCATTGATAACTACTCTTTGAGTATGGTTTTTCAACAAATTGTGCAGCCACCTTATAGTAATGTCATCTAGACAGTATTTCCTGAGTTTGCTTATAAGACTATCATATTTGACTGCATCAAAAGCCTCATTAATCTCCAGATATACCACATCTATCACTTCCCCTTCATCTACTGGACTGCTGACAAAGAAGGAAATTAGATTGTTTGGTATTTGCTCTTGACAAATCCATGTTGGTTATTACTTATCTGCTTATTATCCTCTAGGTTTGAACAAATTGATTGTTTGATCATTTGTTCCAGTATCGTTCCAGGTATCGAAGTCAGGCTGATTGATCTAGAATTCCCCACACCCTCTTTGTTCCCGTTTTTAAAGATAGCTACTACGTTTGCCCTTCTCCAGTCTTCTGGGACCTCAGGCATCCTCCATGAGTTCCCAAGCAATTGTTAATGTTTCTGAGATTGCTTCAGCTATTCTTTAGTATTCTAGAGTGAATTACATCAGGCCCTACCAACTTTAATAGATCTAGCTTGCTGTGGTCTCCAGTGCTGTGTGCTCAGAGTAACAAGCTCACCAACCCTGCTTCTGACTCCCCTGGGCTCCCTAATCGCAGCCTCTCACTCTGGTCTTCTGTTCTCTGCAGCTGCGGGACCATCACCGATACCAGACCGGGATCCGTCAGCACCATCTGTTGCTACGGGCTGGAGGGCCGCTACGTCACCATCGTCATCCCGGGAAGGGCGGAGTATCTCACCCTGTGTGAGGTCGAGGTCCTAGCTCAGGGCTGTGCCCCACCACCAGGGGGTAA